ATTAAGAAAAAAAAAAACAGCTGAAACCCCTTGATTTAAAAAAAAAAAAAAAAAACAGCAAAAGAAGTTAAACTCAGTAGATTTAGCCACAAAAGCTTAAAACCATCTAAACCCATCTAAAACCAGCTGTTTTAACAGATAGATAGGTAGATGGGTAGATGGATAGAAATAGTACATTGGCTTTTTCAATCCAACTTAATAATACCCCAACATATAATGTCATCATAATAAAATTCCCATGCCTTTTGTGTCAGCAAATTGACAGTAAATTTTTCTCAATGGAAGCAATATGGCATGTTGCAGAAAAAAGCTAAAGGCTACTTCTGGGGTCTGTAGAATCATGCTCAAAAGTCTTAGACATGCAGTATTTATCAAACACTAGGAAGTGGGAATGGGTTGAAAAAGTGGCCTCTTGTCTCCTCAACAGTCTTAACGGAGCTACTTCAGCAGAGCATTTACTTGACTTACTTGAACACTAACTTGATTGGTCATTGTGTTCAAAAGATGAACCGACGATTGGCTACACTTCTCAACATTAGAAGAAAATGTGGGATGGGAGGCCCCTCTTAGTGGATTGGCTCTGACAGCGATGACATGCAAAATGATAGAATATAATTTAATTATAACACATTGGATTTGCTTGTGAAGAACTCTCTAATTGTAACAATTTGTTTGTGGGTGCGTTGACTTGTCTTCTCCTTCCAGGCAAAGAGTGATGATATCTTCTACATCTGGCTGACCAAACTGACTGCCCATCGGCATTTCAAGAAGAACGAGGCTATAAACCTGCACCACGGGGTCCTTCAAGCCCTCTCGACAGGAACCAGCAGCACTTTGCCTGCCATGGCGAGTCTTGCACAGAGAAACCGAGCGATGGTGGGCATTAATGTTCATCTTAAATGTGATTGCTTTTGGAAATTAAGTAGCATTTTTTGTTTTTGTTAGATTTCCACTGCCTTGAATTTTCCCCTATTAAGCGGTTGTACATTTTTCTCTTATCTAGATGCAACATTATCAGAGCTCACCATCATTGTTTGGGTCAGAGATGCAGGGTTCCCCGTCAGCCTCTTCATCTCGAGGAAATACTAAAGTATCTGATTGGCTCAAAAAGACACAGGAAGCTGACTTGTGCCAGCTAGGTATGCAATACTAATACCTTTTAATTCAGCATGAGTATATGGAGCCAGTGTAGGTCCTGAAAAATGTCATTTCCCAAGCATTCATCTCACGAATGTCCGTTCCCTTCCTAACAAAACAGACGAACTTCTTCTCCTCACCCGCACCACAAGGATTTTTCAAATTCTGCTGCACTGTGCTTCACTGAAACCTGGCTGAGTGAAGCCATTCCGGACAACGCGCTTCATCTGCCGGGCTACCAGCTGTTCAGAGCGGATCGCATCGCGGAGTTAACAGGGAAAACCAGAGGTGGTGGATTGTGTTTCTACATCAACGAAAGTTGGTGTTCAGATGTAACAACGCTGGAAAAGGTATGCTCTCCTAATTTAGAGGCACTCATCATAAACTGTAAACGTTTCTACTTGCCGCGGGAGTTTTCCTCTTTCATTCTTGTGAATGTGTACGTGCCTCCGGACGCGTGCGTGAGCGCCACGATGCAACAGCTGGCCGAACAAATAACTGAAATGGAGCAAAGGTACCCAGACTCTATTTTAATCATTCTTGGAGATTTTAACAAATCAAATCCCTCCCGTGAACTGCCAAAATACAAGCAGCACATTACGTGTCCCACCAGAGACAGCAATATATTGGATCCGTGCTGGTCGCTGAGGAAATACATCAACTTCGCGCTGTGGATCGCCGGATCGGCTTTCACCGTGGACGAAGTCACTGGGGTCGTCACATGTGGTTGCCACAAGCCCACCGGCCGCTCCTTCGTTGAATCTGCCAGCCGCGCCGTTTTCAAGCTCACCGGCCTCCTCTCACTCAGCCCGCTGGCCGTTCCTCACTCTAGCCTGCTGTGTGTGATGCTGTGTTTCGTTGGGAAAGCGAAACTACTTTGTTTGGCCTTCCAGGGCTCTCTGATCACTGTTTGGTTCATCTTATACCGACCTACAGGCAGAAACTGAAATCAGCTAAACCTGTTTTAAGGACTGTTAAAAGATGGACTAATGGTTTTGACCTCACTGATTGAAGTGTTTTTTAAGCTGCAGCCACCGATCTGGACGAGCTCACAGAGACTGTAACTTCATATATCAGTTTCTGTGAAGATATGCATTCCTACCAGGACATTCTTATCATTCAATAATGATAAACCGTGGTTTACTGGGAAACTCAAACAGCTTCGTCACGCCAAAGAGGATGCTTACAGAAGTGGGGATAAAATCTTGTATAACCAGGCCAGGAACAGACTAACAAAGGAGATCAGAGTGGCAAAAAAAA